ATACGTTGACTATTCGCAATGCTCAATTTGGAGGTGCAGCTATGCCCGTGGACAGCCTTGACAACCTCTGCAAGCAGCTAAACTACGTCACTGGCAATGGGAGGAACGAATTTCGGGAGCCACTAGTTGAGCACGCGAGTATTTTCTAATGTCAAGGTGTTAAGCTAGGAGGAACATACACGGTGGAACAGGGGGTAGACAATGGCGAGACTGGACATACCTGACAGCCACCCAGACACATACCACCAGCTCTACTGAAGGTAGCAAAGTGTCTGATCAAGGAAATAATCAGTTTTAAGGTCATAAAACCATCAAAGTCACTTTGAGCCTCGCCATTTGCTCTCTTTAAGGGGAAGGACGAAAGTCTTCAGGAAGCCGAACTCAGTGATGAAGAAGAATTTTTTTCCCTATTTTACATGAATGATTCGCCAGACTTAAAATGACAATGCTGGCAGATAGAAGCAACAGAAACGGAAAAGGAGAAGACAGCTACTTTCCAATATCTTATGCCAAACACTCTATGTGGATTATTCCCAAAATGTTGTACAATATTTCTAAATGACTTTTGGGAGCATAATGCTGCGAATCCGCTGTCATTGTTGTATCGTCTTCGAGACACGAACCTGACTCTAACTCAACCCAAAGAAATGCCGATTTCTGCACTTTTGGGTGAACTTCTTGGGACACACTGCCACATCAATAGAGATAGCACTTACTGTAGACCGTAGGAAGTAAGCGAGAATCCGGCCAAAGCCAATCAACTGGACGCAGCCTCGTTGTGCCCTTGGTTTGGCAGGTTACTACAGGCGTTTTGTCAGTGGTCTTGCTAAGATTGCAAACGCCCTTCATAAACTGAGGGGAAAGCAAGTGAAAAAGAATTTCAGGTGGGGGATATAGCATGATGAAGCGTTGGAAGAAGTGAAATGAATGCTCAGGTCCCCACCGATTCTGGCATTACTGAAATTTGAACAAAGCGCCTCATCACCTCCATTGTATACTGACACTAGTGATGTAGCCGTGAGACATAGAAGGAAGGAAACACTTCAGCGACAATGAGTTGGTGTACCAGTCTCTACAATAATGAAACGAAAAGTGTAACAACATGGACTTCTTGCTATTTATACAGTGTTTAGACATTTCTGGCATTACCTAATATCAAGGAAGATCATTGGGCACTGACCTGACTGAAAACAAGGAAGAAGTTAAGCATGAAGGGGAATACATCTAGTAATGCGGACACCCTATCCCGTGGGCCAGTCACAGCAGAAATGGGTGGTTTTGTATTGCAGTGAATGTCATATTCTCGAGCGAGTCCACTACCAAGCATTGTTCGGGGAATAAGCCAAATGCTGCTCCCGACACGGCTCTGGTACGCGAGAGGCTCGTTACATACCTTCACAAACCCATGATGAAGGAGGTAACCTCGTCGAGCAACACACCTGGACGGAAATGACAGGATAGTCAAAACTCTTTTTAGAGGATAAGGTGTCATTCTATCAAGAAGGTGCTGGATCTCCTAGTTACCCAGTTGTCGTCGGCTACTTGGCACAAACAATTCTCCAAGAGTTGCATGTGTAACTGGGCCACGTGGGCAAAAAGATGCTGGGAGTCTACATTCGTCTAAGACGTGCTTGATTTTTACCCAAACTGCATTACTTGTAGCAGCAGCTGCTTCCAAAGGTCACAGATTTTGTAGGGCAAAGAATAGATTTTGACATCCCGGATGCTCTTTTAACCACGAAGGTAGGAATTCGATTACTCCGGTTATGGTAGAATACTTGACGAAGCTTGATGTGGCAGAATGCATGAAGACACAAGACGCTGATATCATTACCTCGGTTCGCCTTAATGGCTAAAAAATGTTAACACGAACAAACTTAATGGAGCAGAGCGATGAAGGAACTGCTTTCGAAAGTCGACTCTTCCTACCAGAACATGAAAGACCTTTGGGATGTCCGAGACAGGTACAACATCAGGACATTCTCAAGGCAATGGACAGGTGGAGAGGAGAAAAAGCACTCTATCCGAACTCCTGAAGACTTTCGCAAGGGATGCGCAACTGAATGACCGAGACATAAGCCTTGGATACTGCCGCCTTGGGTGCAGGGCCACAGTCCATACATTAACTGACGGTTCATCATTCAAGAAGCTTGGAGGTCGTAAAAGGAGTAGAACATAAATCGAGTACGTACTGCAACTGAAAGAAGGAATGTGGCAGTCTGTCAACATCGCGCGTGAGAACACTTACGACTGCGATATACGAGAAGTGGAGATAATACGACAAACGCGGTCTGACGAAGGGCTACCAAGAAGGGACCTAGTACAGCTGTACCAGGTGATCTAACCCGTCGGAGAACACCAAAAGTTCCAACATCTGTGGAGTAAAGATGCATTCCATGTGATGATTGCCATCTCAACAACAAATTGTTTCATCTGCAATACAAAACTCCGTACAAGTTGCACCATGGGAAGTGGCAGTTGGCGGAGACCAGGCAAAAGTGGAGCATCGGGGACGGTGGTATCAAAGACAAGGAGGCTATGTACGAAATGCTAGGCCAGAGTTGGTCAGTAGACATGAACCTCTTGACAGACTGACGTTATCCACCCACCAGGAATAAGTGTGCTCTGAACAAGGATAATCCTGGTTGCTGTACCCTGTTTATGACATTACCGATGAAGGCTGCCTTAATCGAACCGGTCTACACTTCTTATGGAAACAAGGGCGCAGATTGAAGAGACAAACGCCAGACCTATCAAAACTCTGAAGGAAAATTAGAACCGTTGCTAATAGCAGATGTAACTGCAAGGCACTTTTCCACTCATTTAGTGATTCAACATAATGGAATGACATATCAAATCTTGAATTGCCGACTTCATGCCCTCTAACACCAGTGAGCACATATTTCTCGACACCTGTTTATCAGGGTGATGCCTCTCAAGGCACATTCCCCACCAGCGAGTGGTTTATTGCAAGTATACTAACATGGACATTAAAATACTAGTCTGCTTTCCAGGACGCCTTCAGTGGAGCTGTAGTGTAGTGTAGTGAAATGGCAAGTGGATATGCACGAACATTCACACCAACTAAGCAGAAGCAATTGGTTTTCTTTCATCTGAATGAGAGTCTTGTTTTTGAGTTCAAAAGACAGATTAAAGTATGGAAGGTGTACAAATGATACAAAGAAGGAGAAAAAGAGTAAAGGCAGAATGCTGACTATGGTGACTGAAACCCAGGAGGCTGAATAGCCCGAACACTTTAATTAGTCAAGAGAACAGCAGCAACAACAAAGCGTCGCATTGAATATGCGCCGTGATTGGACCAAACGTAGTCTAATCATCAACCACGTACCTTCCGTTTATGATCACTTTAAGGCGTAAATGAAGAAGCAAAGATTTATTAACTGCTACAAAGATTAGGTATGGAAAGGTGGCGATGGAAGTAGAGTCAATGACTAATCACTGGTTTGACAAAGGGGTAAGAAGGAAGGAATGGCGGATTGACAAAGAGGGATGGCTTTACATCCTCTCGATCATTTTCACTACAAACGTCTTTATCACATCGGCACGCATGGCAGCAGAATGAAGGACCTCCTCATGGGTGCAGGGAACCTCAGTGCTTTCGTCAAGTCCAGCCTTGTCGGTGAGGAGCGATAAGGCGAAGACCTTCATGCCTGCGTGTTTTGCGGCAGTGGTCTCGAACGCAGTACTCATTCCAGCAGCGTCAGCACCGATTAGTCTGGCGAATCGTGACTCTGAAGTGGTTGGGTAAGTGGGTCCCATCTTTGCCAGGTAGACACCCTCACGCAAGATATCCTCAATGTGCATTTCCTTGCCCACCCTCTTGGCCAGTTCACGCAACTCCTTTGTGTAGAGGTTGGTCATATCTGGAAATCGCGTTCCAAATCTAATCAAATACAATGTCACATTCTAGAGGGAATGAACCACCCTACCTGTCATCATTGGGTCCAACCAGAGGATTCAATCCTGTCATTCCGAGCATGTTGATGTGGTCCTTGATGATCATCAAGTCACCTGCATTGTAATTGGGATTCAAGCCACCTGCTGCATTGGTGACAATGAGGGTTTCCACACCGAGCAGTTTCATCACTCTCACGGGAAGAGTGACCTGAGGGAATCAGAGCAATCTGAATTAGTCCTCACCTGACCCAATGTGTAGCCTTCGAAGAGGTGGAATCGACCCTGCATGACAACGACACTTTTGCCATCGAGTTTACCGAATACGAGATTGCCAGCATGTCCCACGACGGTGCTGATGGGGAAGTGGTTGATCTCGGAGTACTTGACGATGACCGGTTCGGAGACAATTTCGGCCAGCTTGCCCAGTCCAGAACCACAGATGATGCCAATTTGTGGTGTCAGTGACACCTTCGACTTGATGTAATCTGCAGCAGCTTTGGCATCTTCGTAGGAGCCCATTGTAGTGCCAATTGGCAGGTTGAAGTTTAATCTCCTTTGGTGATGAACTGATGCCTTTTATATGGGTTCTTGCACCGCACAATAGCCTCTGCCAGCCAATGACAGACAGGGAAATGAAAGTGTCAATTATGTGTACTACAGTGTCAAGTAAACTGTAAACGAAAATTCCCGCAACAGGGGGATGTAAATTTCAAATCATTAAAGGTCATCACTGTTTATTAGAGTTGGCTGATCATTGTCTGACTAGAGCAATTCTCTTTTGGATTTTTCATTGAAGTATTATCCACGAGCTTTCATACATTAATCCTTCGAAGTTTATCAAATAGCTGACTACCTTCGGAACTGCCATTTGTTTAACTATTTATGGGTGGAGGACTCTTCCATTATAGCCATGAACAATTTTTCCCTTTTTAGTTCTTAATAAATAAACGCACTTCTGTGCTATACACCTGATTCACATCCGCTGTTTCATACACTTATGAATTACTATCAATCCATCTATCCACTGTGCGTTCAACCATCCCATAAACGTTATTACTCTTGTCGCCCATTCCGTATCCATCCCGGATCCATCCATCCATCCATCCCGGATCCATCCCGGATCCATCCATCCATCCATACATCCATCCATACATCCATCCATCCCGGATCCATCCATCCCGGATCCATCCATCCATCCACCCTTCCATTTATCCTGTATCCATTCATTCATTCTGAATCCTGCAACAAGTCTCGTTAGCATCGGTCCCTTTCATATCCATTCACTCATTCATTCCAGTTTTCTCCATTTCATTACTTTAACTCGAGCAGGGTATTTTAAGGCTCTTTCTGCCTTGATTGTAGAATGCTGAAAAACGTTACATTTCTATAGTTCGTCTTGACTCTTGAAGAACTTTGTACGATATAATAAAGTTTATTCTTTTGAATACAGACAACATCGGGACTCCAAGCGGTGAGTTCAAGGAATGAGACTTGGCTAAGCAAGGCCTTTGCTGCTGACATCCCATGACCTCATTCTGGCGTCTTTTGATTTGCCTTGACTTCACAGTACATAGATTCTTGCTATCCACTATATATTTATCCACGCAAAGAACTCATCGCGAATGTAAGTCGAGGGACTAGCAAGAGGAAAATTGCTGACAGGAGTAGAACTTCCCATGAAGGCTCAAGACATCTTTGATTCCTCCATCTGTCCGTGATACACATTCAGAAAGAGTGCAAATTTGCCGAAAACAAACAATGGCATAATTTAATTTGTCCGCTGGTTGCGTCACACATTTGTGACAGGGTCAGTTTGACAGTTCGTATGTCTTCCTTAGTTCACTTGAGCTGAGCGTTCCGGGACTATTCTGTACATGCCAGGATATGTAAAGCTCGGGCAGAATATATACATATTTAACAAACAAAAGAGTCCAGTGTTAATGCCATCATCTGGAGGCCAGCCCACCTGGCGAGGGCTTGATGGTCAAAGCACGAAGTGGCCTCTTACCAAAACCAAGCGTTAACCAAACAACCAACGTATTACACATATTTCTTACATGTGTTTGTATTTACGACAGGCACAAATTTCTTATTTACTTTTGCATATGACTGTGCGTGTTTATTTGTTTTGTATTTATATATGCATGTATAATAATGTCCTTTTCCATGTTCAGATGTTTCAGCATTTTTAAATTTATTGTAGTTATATTTATATATTCATTTTATCAATGCACATACATGTGAACGTTTTTAATTGTACTGAAATTTGTCATGTATAAAAGCACATATTTGCATATATATCGTTTGTATTTCACCGAGACTTACTGGGGCAAATTTGCGTTTTTTTCCAACTTGAACTTTCGCCATTTAGTACACCTACCTCAGCGTTCGATCTGCAGTTTGCAAGGTTTTGCCTAGTGAGATTTTACAGTTCGATCAAGCCGCCTTAAGACAGTCCGCTTCCATGCTGGCCCAAAGCGGTAAACTCTCAAAGTGCTCAGTATGCATTAACCTTTAAGCTGATAAATGTTGGCTAATGTTTCTCTTTCATCGTTCTCGTGGCGAGTTTTAATGTTAGGTCACGTCATTATGCTGCTCAAGTATCAAGAACCCCGCGTTTTTACACCAAGTTTGCATAGCAGGCCAGGAATTACTACTGTGCTGCGAGCTGGAAACGGAACCTCCGCACTACAGAATGCCTCTGTCGTACGGACATGAGGCCGTGCTGAAAGCCTTAACTCCATTCAATCAAATGTCCTGCTAATCTCTCTGCTATCGTATCTACGGCAGTCAGAATCTCCTACAGATAAGAGTGGGTGTGGGTGTCCGTCGGTTCTGGTTTGACGCTTTTGTTAACGAGGAACTTTGTCCATCACCGGGCACTGCACCAGGAGGGTTCCACTACCGTGGATCGTCATGTTGATGAACGAGGCAGAAGGTGGATGGACCAAGGCTATGCACAGCGATCATAACGGGGTTCATCGTCTCGGTTGCGTGCCTCCAGAGGGGTGC